GTGGTGGTGAGGGTGGGAAGAGAGTAAACAGTCTGTATTGCCTCTGTGGTGAAAACTTGGTATTAAGAGATCTGCAAATAGATAGGGCAGAGGCAACTACTTCCTTGACGTTGAGGTAAGCTTTTCCTAGTCACCAAAAAAGTGAGGACAACTAATACCTTACTTGATACACCGTGAAAGGGACGAAGAGTGACCACAGCAGTTCTGAGACCCAGGAGGCATCTGACACTGTCTGAGGGGAAAGCAGGAGGTGAGGTCTAAGTCAGAGCCAGGAGTGGGAAGCTTCTCCAGGGGAGTCCCTGTCCAACACACACTCACCACAGACACTAGGGGTCTCTGGACTTGCAGGGTAAGAGGCTGTATCACATCCTGGATAGAAAATGGCCAGGAACTAGAAGAGGGAGGAGAAAATAGGATGGGGTTCTAGCCAGCCCAGTTAGTAGCTCATATCTAACTTAAAACAGGAAACTGTCAAATTGTACAAGTAGTTAAATGAGGAATATAGGGATTCAGGGGAAAGAACCAAAACTGGACAGAAAGGTACTAGGAATGGAGCGGGTAGGGCTGAAGAAGGTTGTGAAAACCCAAGGGCCCCCAAGCCTGAGCCCTACACCCAGTTGGAGACCAATACCTTTGTTCACTCACCTGAAACGCAGGAGCCCCTCCCGGCCATTGGTGGCCTCTTCCTCCGGGAATAGCAGCAGAGGGGTAGGGGGAAGCCTCGTGGAAGCACAGAATCTCTTGAGTGACTCTACCAACTCCCCCCGCCCATCCATCTCCATGAAGCCCCGAGACCAGCACACAAAGCTGGGAGGACTATTGAGTAGAGGCTAGGAACAGGGAAAAGAGAAAGCAAGAAGAACGTTGGGAAGTGATAAAAACTGACATCTGGGGTAGAGAAGCGGGGTTAGTGTTAAGACTCAGTATCTCGTGGTCCCTAAGGGAAGCCTCGGCGAGCACAGGGGAGCCTTAAGCTGGGCCCCAGGGGACTGTCCGTGGCACTCTCAGCTTCGCCCCCCACTCACGGTACTACAGCTGGTGAGCAGGTTGACTATGTTGTGGTCGAAAGGTGTCACATGGTTGGAAATGAGGATCCTGACGCGGTGATCCCGGAGTCCGGAGTCCTCCTGCCGGGCCACGAGCCCCAGCACCGCACACATGGTCCGTACCACGAACCTGGGGACGCAGGCAGTGCTGACTGCACGGCCGTCGACCCGGCCCAGCCTTGACCCTCCCCGAGCGCCCGGGTCGGAACCTGCGAAGGACGCTGTCTGGCAGCGCGCAGCTGACCAGGAAGACGTGGATCCCAAGAAAGAGGCGCAGGACCAGGAGACAGAACCCGATGGGCGCGTAGAGCAGCAGCGCGAGGAGCAGGAAGCCGTCACTCGGGAGCCTGGGGGCAAAAGGTGGGATGATCGGGCGCCGAAGGCCGAGTGGACGCGGGAACCGGTCTCTTCCTGCCGGGACTCTTACCGGTGCGAGTCAAAGAGCCGCTCCGGCCCCGGCGCCGGGGGAGGTTCCATCGCGGCTGCTTTAGGGGTGTTTGGCCACTGCCGCCATCTTCATGCCCCGCCGCAGGGGCTCCTGGGAAGTCGGAATCTTCCGGTGTCGGCCCCGGGTGCCAGGACCCGAAATCCTGCGGCGCCCCGGAAGGGCTAGCGGCCCAGCATGCCTCGCGGGCCCTTGGGACACCTCAGCGATCGCGTCCCGCAGAGACCACAATTCCCGGCATTCACGGGGCGGGGGCGGAGTCGGCCTCCCGCAATAATTCTGGTCCCGGCGTGCACTTCTAGAGGACCTCAGGTACCAGCGTGCCACGTGCCCTGCGGTCCGCCAGCTCACGTCCACCCAGGGCGCCGCCTCTGTGTAGGGCGGGCGAGGAGGCAGCCGAGGCGGGGCTCATGGCTGCACTGAGGGCGGGGCGGGGTGGCTGGAGGCTCTGGGGATGGCGGGCTTTGGGGGGGGTTCGCTGGGGGAAGGGACCCCTGTTGACCCCTGACCTGCGGGCCCTACTGATATCAGGAACTCCTGACCCTCGGGCCCTAATGACTTATGGGACCTCCAGTCTCCGGGTTCCGTTGTCTGTGGGGGTCCCTGGACCACAGACATGTCTGACGTCGGGGACTTCGGATTCCCGAGCACGGCTCACTGCGGGGACCCGAGGTCCCCAGACCCGGGAGAACTCAGGGACCCCTGTAGCCCGTCCGCGCGTGTGGCTGGCGTTGGCACTGGGCGCTGGAGCAGCAGTGCTGCTGTTGTTGTGGGGCGGGGGTCGGGGTCCCCCGGCGGTCTTTGCCGCTGTCCTTAGCTCGCCGCCCACCTCTCCCCGGAGCCAGTACAACTTCATCGCAGACGTGGTGGAGAAGACGGCACCTGCCGTGGTTTATATCGAGATCTTGGGCCGGTAACTGTGGGGTAGTCCTGGAGACACCGAAGCCGCGGGGCTAGAGGGCGGGCGAACAGGAGGGGTACGACCTCTTCACCGTGCTTTCCCCCCATCCCAGGCACCCTTTCTCAGGCCGCGAAGTCCCTATCTCGAATGGCTCAGGATTCGTGGTGGCTGCTGACGGGCTTATCGTTACCAACGCTCATGTAGTGGCTGATCGGCGCCGAGTCCGTGTGAGGCTGCCTAGCGGCGACACGTATGAGGCCATGGTTACAGCTGTGGATCCCGTGGCAGACATCGCCACTCTGAGGATTCAGACTAAGGTGGGGATCCGAGCAGGCCTTGGCTGGTTGGGGCTGTGAATTTGCTTGCATCTCCAGGTGACAGGTTCCTTGTACCCATTCTCCCTTAGGAACCTCTCCCCACACTGCCCCTGGGACGCTCAGCTGATGTCCGGCAAGGGGAGTTTGTTGTTGCCATGGGAAGTCCGTTTGCACTGCAGAACACGATCACATCTGGCATCGTCAGCTCTGCTCAGCGGCCAGCCAGAGACCTCGGCCTTCCCCAAACCAATGTGGAATACATCCAGACTGATGCAGCTATTGATGTGCGTCCTAATATGAGAGAACTGACAGTCTAGATTGGGGGAGGGGGAGAGGCCGTGTGGTGCAGGCACCAAGTGTAATAGATGGTGGATGAGCCTATATATCGAGGTTGAGCTACAAAAATGTGGCCACTCATTCATGGCTGGAAAAGAATTTGGAGATAATGCCTGCATCCTGGTTAGGCCCCCAGGCATAGAGTCCCTGGATCTCTTCCATATTCTCTCCTTGTCCTGCAGTTTGGAAATTCTGGAGGTCCTCTGGTTAACCTGGTGAGTGGGTCATCCTTTCCAAGAATCCCTGCCCAGGTCAGTGTGGGAAGGGGTGGGTTTTCCCTAATTCAACGATGTTCAGTCAAGTTTCTAAACAGTCCCTTGTTGGCTATTTCCCAGAACCCAGCCAGATCTCCCAAACTCCCCAACACTCCCTGCTACTCTTGTTCAAGTACCCCCATCTCCTACTATTTTTTTGGGCTAGGGAGTAGTGGGCTCTGTCCCTGCAGGATGGGGAGGTGATCGGGGTGAATACCATGAAGGTCACAGCTGGAATCTCCTTTGCCATCCCTTCTGATCGCCTTCGAGAGTTTCTGCATCGTGGGGAAAAGAAGAGTGAGCCTGGCTTAGGGGGGAAGGGGTTCCTTTAAATCTGGGAGGGGCATTCATGGGGCCTTGCTGGAGAGGGGTCTATTGGGAGGAGAGGGAGGGGAAGGAATAATATAGCTGAGTGGAGCTCATTTGTCTCTTTATCACAGATTCCTGGTTTGGGATCAGTGGGTCCCAGCGCCGATACATTGGGGTGATGATGCTGACCCTGACTCCCAGGTATGAGCTTTAGGGATAGTGACACGTAGGACCATCAGTGTACTCAGGGGTGTGCATTTGGCACTTCTGTTGAGCTTTCTTCTCAGTTCTATCTTTATCTATGGTGAATTGCTTCACACTTGGAGCTATCCGAAGAGCTGTCCTCTCTTGTCATCTTGACTTTCTCACCTCACTGCATTTTGTACACCTGCCACCAGGTTGATTTCATCCTATTACGGCTTAGATTTAAAACCTTCAATCTGTTAACCTGGTGTTTAGGGGCCATTTTCCATTTGTCTCCAATTCAACCTTCCAGACCTGGCTTCCTACATGAATGTATTCTGTTCCCAGCCAACCTGATTTCCTACTCCCAGGTTTTTATTTTTGTTTTATATAATTAAATATCAGACCCATCCGTCTAAGCTCAGCTTAAGTTCTACTCACTCCTTAAAGCTTCTGTTAGGATTTTAGAATGAGATTAGTGCTATTGATTTAACACAGTGTCATTTGGTATTAGGTAACTTTTATATACACGTCCCGCTTCCTAACTACTAGAAGGCAGAAAATGAATTGGCTTTGTATCTGGAGTACCTAGTGCATACGCTGTCCATACAATTGTCAGTGTGTTGATGAGAGATTTGAGGAACCTAAGATGAGGAGAGCATCTTGGTGTGGATAACAAGGTGGCCTATGTCCTTTCAGCATCCTTGCTGAACTACAGCTTCGAGAACCAAGCTTTCCTGATGTTCAGCATGGCGTGCTCATCCATAAAGTCATCCTGGACTCCCCTGCACACCGGTAAGGGAGAGACTGCACTGTGAGGTGGGGGTGGGTGAGGTGTGCATGTGCCCTTGAACTGGGATATCTATTCCCTCTTCTCTCTCTGTCCATCTTTTGCCATAGGGCTGGTCTGCGGCCGGGCGATGTGATCTTGGCCATTGGGGAGCAGCTGGTACAGAATGCTGAAGATATTTATGAAGCTGTTCGAACCCAATCCCAGCTGGCAGTGCGGATCCGGCGGGGACCGGAAACATTGACCTTATATGTGACCCCTGAAGTCACAGAATGAATGGATCAGCAAGAGTATGAGGCTATTGCTTTGATTTCCACTTTGCTTTCCTGGCCTAGGCTCTGAGGGCACCTGGACAGAGGATTAAATGAACCAGTGTAGGGGGCAGGTCCCTCCAACCACCAGCACCAATCCCTGGGATCTGAGGAGTCACAAAAACACTTTTTATATAAAATAAAATTATACCTAGCAACATGTTATAGTAAAAAATGAGGGGGCAGGCGCTGATCTTTTCCCCCACAAAAAGGCTAGAGGTAAAGCTGTATACCCCCGAACTGGGGAGATACTGGAGCTGACCATCCTGACCTCCCTATTCAAGAACAAGCTGTTGCTGTCTGTCGTTCTGGCCAATTAATCAGGTGCTGCTCTTTGTGGCCTGCTCAGCTCAGTGCTGGGCCTGGGAGCCAGGTTTCCCATGCTTGGCCACAGATCCTGACAGCTGGCCTAGGAAGGAGGGCGGTAACTTCTGCTTGACAGTTCCACATCCACAGTGAACACTGGACAAGTGCGGCGGGCCTGCTGACATCGGGTTCCTTGGTAAGCTCCTGAGGTAATGGCAGCCTCAGACCCCTGCCATTAGGGGCCAGTGGTGGTTTGCAGAGGTGGGTGCTGGCACCTTAGACGATCTGGTTGCTGGTCTGGCCAGGGTAGCGCTCGAACCTCTTGTTGGCCTCTTCACTGAAGGCATCACCTGCAAGGTGAATGGGCAGTTTGGACATGAGAACATACCCATTGAGGGGAAGGGTGGGTGGAGGTGGAGAGGCTGGGACATCCAGAGGCGGGTGGGACTACACAGAAACAACTTAAGGAGAAGAGAGTGAAGGCCTTTCCCTCTCATCCCCCAGTCTTCCTGGGCTGCTCTTCCCATCAAATACCAATGTGGCAGTTGTGCACCCAGATGCGATGTCCATCATATTTGCAGTTACATTTCATTGCGTTATTGGTGAAGTCACTCTCTGCTACTTCAAAATTGGGGTTGATGACCACCTGCGAGTGGGAGAAAGGCACCATAATTCAAAGGTGTCTTTAATAAATACTCCTCCCTCTCAACAGCTGGAAATCTCAGAGCCCAGGCACCTGCAGAATGTAGTTTCCTGGCTTCACATCTGTGATGTCAATCCACTGGCAGTCAATATCATGCCGGTAGAGATCCCAGCAACCCACGGTGATGCCCTGCTCTCCAAAGTTGGCACACTCATACCTCTTGGAGACATCTGAAGGGATTTGGCATGTGTCAGTGTGAGGTGAGGCTGTGGGATGCAGATACTGTAGTCCATTCTAGGCCCCAACTCACCCTCCTGACACTCGGTGTCTTCTAGACAGAAACTAGCTTTGTGGCCCTCAGCCACCTTGGTGCCGTTGGGGGTCAGGATATCATAGTGAGTGAAGATGTCCATACTGTGGTAATGCCTGTGGGGATAAGGGACAAGGGAACCCCTGTTTTCCTTCCTGCCCCCAGCAGGCTCACCCTGTCCCCAGTGGCCTTGCCCTTCTACTTAATCCTCTCACCCATGACACTCGTGCCACACCCAAGAGTGGCGCCCAGCCTTGGGCCTGAAGTCCGCTCGGCCCAGGTTGTGAATCTGGGAGGAGAATCTGAGTAGACGCCGGTGGCCGTACGGCCAGTTGGCCGAGCGGGCTGAGCGGGCCAGGCAGTTCTCTTCTGCAGCACAGTACAGCATGTGCAGGGGCCGGTCCTCGATGTAGGCGGTCTCCTGCACCAGTGCTGAGTGCAGCAGCAGGTCTGATGCAGCTGCACCCAGGAAGGAAGAGGGTATTAGCAGTCGCAGCTGAGGGGCGGGGACAGATGGGGGTGCTTCCAACCCTCTGTAGAATGTGTGAGGCAGATTTTCCACAGAGAAGGAGTACCCCTCCACCAGATTACAGCCTTCTCTCTGAAAGGGTGGCCCAGAACGCCTCTTCCCTAGCTTGCTCTTCACTCACTCTCAGAACAGATGACGCCAGCAGTGAAGCGGGTTTCTGTCCTCTTGCAGGCGATGTGGGCGCCATGATGAGCACATTGGTCCAGGGACAGCTCAGTCCCTATGCAGCGTACTCCACTCATCACCACCTCTGTTATATTCCCCGAGTCCCAGTACCAGGTCTCCTGGGGACATATGTAGGTGTTTCTGTGAGGCTCCACTATCCAGCCTCCTGGGCCAAACGCAGGCTTCGGAGGCAATAGCCTTGCTTGCCCCTCCCCTTGCCACTCACCTGCAAGCCATGGTTCGCATAGCCTAGTCCAAGTTGCCTACAGGCCACCATGGCCTCCAGTGTCCCCCAGTCATCCCCACAGATGAGACCCCAGCGAAGGGATCCAGGTCTCCCTATTTGCACCTCGACTCGCCCCTCATATCGGCTGCGGCCCCCACTGATTCGGATCTGTAGTGACAGAATGGAAGACCTGGGAAAGCTTTTAGGGTGGAGTAGTGGGAGTCTAGCAGGCATGTGGCTGAAGGGTGATTCAGAGGCACATAAAGGACTAGCAATGGTGGTGTCAGGTGGGAGCTGCAGGATGGCAGGGGCCTAGGGTAGTGGGCTAGGGGCCATCACATTGCAGAGTGTGACCAGGACTAGATAGGATGCGAGACACCTGAGCCAAGGTGGAAAGTATGACTGACCTTGGTCTCTAACCCAGTGTAGGGCAGGTTGCATCGGACCCCAGCATCCTGGACATGGGAACAGTCCTCAGCTGTGATGTTCTTGTGGGGGCACTTCCAGAGGGAGGGTTCATGTCCAGAGCATCGAACTTCACTCAAATGGATGGCACCCATGCCTAGGGTCAGAGGTCAAAGATCATGAGGTTGTAATTGGCCCTTCATTGTCTGCCCGGGGGGGTCTCCTTCTTCCCAAGGATTGTACTCCCCAGGAGTGTGGACCTCCTCCTTCCCTGTCCCTCCCACCTTCATCCCCCTCACCCTGCCCCATGCGGGCACCACTCAGAGCCTCTCGAGCACTCCCGAAGCCCAGCTCCCGACACACCACGCTGGCTGCCTGTAGGTCCCACTTGCGGTCGCAGACTGTGCCCCATGTGCCAGCCTTCAGGACTTCTACCCGGCCCTCTCCAGGGTAGGCCCCACCCTTCAGACGTACTCGGGCCTGAAGAGAAAAGAGGTGTGTCCAATGGCAGTGAATGGGAACACCAGTACAGAGAGGGCTGAGCAGACCTGGACATGAATGAGACTCTGGCGGGGAGGGGAGTCTCAGGTCTGTGGCCCACCCCCTGGAAGGTTCCTCTCTGTCCTCAAAGGTCAGGGCTGTGCTTAGTCAGGGGTGACCAGGCTAGGGGGGCTCTCCCCCTGGGGTGGGGAAGGTCATAGTCACTGTCTCACACACCTCCCCCTGAGGCTTTGCCTGTTGTTGCTTCTTCTGGCCACTGGATGCTGCGTAGAGAGGACCTGGCACACAGCTCACCACCGCAGGGGCCCCCCCAGGGCACCTGGTAGTGTCATTGGCACGATAGAACTCCAAGGAGCAGAGGGAGAGGTGGGCCTCCGTGCCCACGCACGCCACCCCATGCAGACCAAAGGAGTGTTGCTGCCGCTGGGCCAGCAGCCTGGGGGGACAGGGGTGGGAGCAGCAGAGTAAAACAATGCTCCTGCCTCTTTGCCCACAACCCACCTCCCGCTCCATGCCTCCACCCCCCCCCCAACTTTTTACGACCCCTTTATCCCTCTTCTCTTTTCTGTTACGTTGCCCTCCAGAGACAAAAGGGATGGTGAGTTTCCAGGCTGAAAAAGCCTAGGTTACCCAGACAGAGGGTCCTTGGGGGGAACTTCTGCAGCAGAAGAACCCTATGGGAAGGTAACTAGTCTTGACTTGACAGAAACCTTGTTCCAAATGGTTTCAGACTGCTGACCCTAACAGAGGCTGAAGCTGAGGCTGCTGTGCAAAGAGAATGGGACACTAGGATTGCCCAGTGGGAAGAAATGGGTGGGACGGGGCGGCTGACACAAACAGGAAGCCTGAATAGCCAGAGTGAGCAGATCCTCCTATTGTGCTGAGACTGGAATAGCTGAATGAGTCAGGATGCAAAGGAGTGAGTAAGTCTTGGGTCTACATGGCTCCTTAGAGGCCAGAGGGATTTCCAGGCCAGAGGCTCTGCAGGCCAAAGAATGACGGGCAGTTACGGGAAGAACAGACCAGATGGTAGACACACGAAAGCCTGGCATATGTAGGGATGAAGATGTATAAATGCAAGGCAGACAAAAGTTAGAGGGACCACAAGGCCAGAGAAGGAGAGTGAATATGAACAACAGAATGGTAAAGACATCCCCCAGACCTGAGCCCAGCTGTGAGTATATAATGAGGCAGTCCATGCTTCCGCAACTTAAACATAACAGAATGTTCTATTGCCACCTGAGCAGGAAAATGGGTATAAACTAGAAATGTTAAAACTTGGAAATGCTGCAGAGAGATGTTTGAGAGAATGAGGGGACTTATTTATCAACACCAACGGAATGAGAGATTGCAGCGAGGGGTGTGACAAGAGAAATACATTCTTCCCAGAGCAGTCGGTTTAAGCCCAGAGGGGAAGGGAACCAGCTGAGGCCTAGTATTGATAGAGTGGACCTGGGAGGCTGCTTTGGCAGTGAATTATTGCAGTAAGGTGCCCCATCACTTGATGTCAGAGGAAGGAAGGAATACGACCACTGGAAGCCACTAGCCAGGAAGACACAGAGAGGAGGAAACATTTATAAACACAGCAGACAGAGGAAGCCTGGAGATGCGGCAGAATACCTTTGGAAGCTCAGGATAAGTGATTTCTGATGCTCAAAGAGATCAGGTACTCTCCCAAAGTCCTGTTTGGCTGAAAATAAAAGCCAAAGGGGGCCATCACAGGAAAAAGACATCTCTCTTCTGAATTCCCTCCTCCCCTTTCCCCACAACTCACAAAGTAAAAAGGGCAGTTTGCACTTTAATGTGGGGGTTAAGGAAGGCCAGAGTATGACCCTAAGCTAAAAGGCACTACAAGAACATCTCCAAATTCCAAGCTCCTTTGAAACCACTAGAGGGAGGACCTGGGGAATGAGGGGTGCCAGGGGACCACTGGGTGATCCCAAAACGTGCTGCAGAGAGGAGGGGCCGATAGAAAGAGATGAATTCTCTGCACCTCCCCCACTGCTGCAGAAGCTATCAGGGAGAAGCTGCATGTGCAAATGGCCTTTGGAAGCCTAGTGAGATGTAATCACCGGGGTTGGAAGCTAGCCACTTCCTTAGGTGCTAAAGAAACCCAGGAGGAGAATTATGGAACTGGGAGCCTAATTGTGTCAGCTGGGCCAGAGAGGAAGGGGCTGTCAATCTGATCCCACCTGAACGTTACCCCCAAGCCAGTAGCACTTATTTTTAAAAATTAGTCAAATAAGTAGGATGGGAACACTGATCCCATAGAGAAATAACTTCTTCTTGGGGGAGAGGCAAAAGTGCCAGAGTATCTACTAGAATTCACGGGGGGAAGATAAATGAGCATGTGGAACAAAGATGAACTCATACAGAGATTTTCAAAAATTCTGTGACAAGCATAATTCCCCAGAGACCAACATGAAGGCTAGCCTTACTTTCCATTTCAGTGAACCATCTGGAAGGTGGCATGTAACAGCTGCTGCTTCTTCTCCACCTCTTGGTGGAAGCCTCTCTTGGACCCTTTCCTGACCACAGCCCGATCCCCCGACTCATCACTAGGTGCTCCCTCTCCTCTCCACCCAGCTTGAACTGTATTTACCTCTTGATTGGCCCCCTGCCCACTCGGGATTTGGGTTTGACTTTACGCTTGGTGACTGGTCTGAAAAAAGGAGAAAGAAGTTAGTGGGGGGGGGTGGTTAGGTCTGTGGCCCAGGAAAGGCAGAGGGTGATTTTTCTGTTTCTGATCCTTTGTGCAGTGTGGGAAGCGGTAAAATGAAGGTGGCCCAAGTGCCACACACACACATTGACTGCTACATACCACCAAACTGTATTTTAGGATCTCATGCTGCTCTCTGGATTCAGCAACAGTGATGAGAAATCTAGTTATGGCAGTTCAGGTGGGTGAGGGGAGAGGAGATAAGAGGGAAGTTAAGGCAGGAGATGTTTAGACAGAGGGATTGTAATGGTGACACTAAGTCTTCTATTTTGAGGTTTGAATCTCTGGTATAATTTGATTTAACAAGTGTAATTTAGCTTGAAACTTTTTGAAAGCTTGTTTTTACAATTCCTCTGTCTTAACAGGAGAGAGAATGGGAATGTGGGTGAATTAAGGGAGGTGAAGACTGGGGGGAGGGGAAGAACATGCAGGTGGTGGAGGCTGGGTCCAAACTACCTGAGAAAAAGATACAAACGAGGAGGCTTTTCCTCAGCCATTCCTACATTACTTCCTCCTTGTGCTTCCTCAGATCAAAGCTTGCCCATTCCCATGCCTGCCTTCCCTCCCGTCCCTCCTGAAACGACCATTTTCCAGTCATATCCTTAATTCATCAGCTTGGGTTTTGGGATGGACATGGATAGGCTGCCTTCCATCCATCCACCTCCTGGGGCCACAGGGGCGAGCAGGAGGTCCCAGGGCTCTTGCCCCATTACCTTCCAAGGGGCTTGGGGCGTCGGGCCGAAGCTTTGGCCGCTCGCTTCCTCAACTTTCTGTGAGGATAAGACAACAGCAGAGTCAGGATCAGTCTAGAACCAAATGGGAAAGGCTGGTGCAGCTGGGACCAGGGGCAAGGTTTCTTTTTCAACAATCAAAGGATTCCTGGTGGCAGGATGTTATAACATCAGATACTCCCAAGGCTCTACCCTTCACAGCTGTTTGGCCTCATAAGCACATGATCAGGCAGGTGAGCAGCAGCGAAAGACATGGTCTCAGGACTGACAGAGTCCCTACACCAGGACCCACAGATGGGTTAGGCTAAGGCAGATGGGGGTAAGAACTCTTGGGTCAATATTAAGGCTGATCTGAACCTGAGGGGAGGGCTCAGGGGACGGGTGGAATTAGAAGGGTGTTAGGAATGTCAGACTAACCAGGCGAGGAGAGAGAACTGATTTGGTCATGCTTAGGGAAGATGACTGTCTTTTTATTCTTGGATGCTCTCTGGCTTCTGGCATTTCCAGGTCTGAGGCCAGTGAACCAAGACCAAGGACCAAGGCTGGAATATCCAAGGACATTAACTTGGTTTGACTGGGGAATCTGAGGCTAGGCTGCTGAGGATGACAGCACCTCTCCTGCCCAAGTTAAATCCCATATGCTTTAGTCATTCACAGACTGAGCTCATCTCCCAAATTTACTTCCAGGGAAATAAGCTCTAAAACCTTATTTCTTTTTAATTGGCCTAACTATTTGACCTATTTTATTCTTTAAGAGGTTGCCTTAAGTCTACTGTCTAGAAACTAGGTCTGTTTCTCCTCTCATTCTCCCTTTGATTTCGAAGACTGTAATTCTGTCCCCTCATTGTCCTTCTAACTATGTATGAATGAATGCAGGTCTTGTCTGTTTTTACAAGTTTATGGAATTCCCCAGCTTAGTTATTCTTTCTTTGAACATGTCCACTCTCTGTTTCTCTTAAAAGTCTTATTTGGATGTAGAATACAGTATGCAGATACACAGGATTTTAATATATCGATTCTAAATAGGGTTGAAGCTGTGTGGTGTTCCCTGCCCTGGCTTCGTCCTGAGGATGTACTTAGTTGGTCTTTCTGCTAAAACATCCAATATGTCCGACATTCCTAGCCAAGAGTCCCATACAAATACTTTTATTTTTAATTTTTCCATAAGATAAAGGTAAAACTCTCCAATCTGACATTAAATGTGTTCCATTTTCTGGCCTTACTTTACTCATTCAGCTCTTCTACTATTAGTATAATCAACCATCTACTCTATCAACTGTCTTTTCAAATATATCCTGTTCATTATCATCTCTGTTGGGATCAACAATGACTTCCACATGCTAAATCCAGTTTGTTTCTCAGTCCTTATTTTTCCAGACCCATCAGCAGCACTGACTCAGTTGTCATTCACTCCTTGAAGCACTTTACTTGGCTTCTGGGCCACCACACCCAACTGGTTTTCTTTCTACCCACCTCACTATTTGCATTTTACCTTATCTTCCTGACCTCATAATGTTTAAGCTCCCCATGATTCAGTCCTTGGACCTCTTTTTTTTTCTTCTATTTACGCTCACTCCCTTGGTGTTTTAGGACCTTAAATACTTTCTATTCAACTCAACGCTAGAGTCATATGCTCAGTTGTTTACTCAGCCTGTCACCATTTTAATGTCGTAAAGAACCTCAAATTTAACAGATCCAAAAACAAGTACCTAATATACTCCCCCCGCCTCCCCTTCCACCATCCCTACACCACACATGTTCCACCCACTGTCTTCCTTATCAAATGAGGCCAACTCCATCCTTAGCTTAGGTCAAAACCTTGGAATGATCCTTAATTCCTCTCCTTCTCTCACACCACACTGAATCCATCAGCAAATCCTGTTGGCTCTACCTTCAGCTATACACAGAATTTGATAATTTTTCGCTATGTTCACTGGTTACCATCGCCTCTTACTTTCTTAACCTGACTTTGAGGAGACAATAACCTCCCACTAGTCTCTCTGCCTTATTGATTCTACTGTTTCCCTTACAGTCTATTCTTAAAAAACAAACAAAACAAAACAAAAACCTTAAAAAAATGTAAGTCAGATGTCATACTTCTGCTCAAAACCTTATCTCACACAGAGTAAAAGCAAAAATCTCCCAAATGGCACTACTTGATCTGGTTCACTCTCTCCTCTTACATCTCATCTCCTATCATTTTCTACCTTGTTCACTCAGCTCCAGCCCCAGTGGCCTCTGGGAGCGTGACAAGAATGCCTTCTTCACTCCCCTACCACACACACACACACACACACACACACTTCCCAGGATCTTTTCATTTATGATCCCTCTTCCTGAAAATGCTGGTCTAGTTTTCTGCATAGTCTGTGCCCTCACCTCCTTTAAATCTTTTCTCAGATGATGCTTTCTCAAAGGGGCCTTGGCTGGCCACTCTATTTAAAACTGCAATCCCACTACCACATCCTAACCCATTCCCTGCTTTATTTTTAACTATTATACTCTTTGCCATTCTTACATTTGTAATTTGACTGATTTTCCGGTTCTTCCCTAGTCCATGAGATCAGGGATTTTTGTCTGTTTTGTTCACTGTTGAATCCTTAGTGTCTACAACAGTCCCTAGTACACAGTAGGCACTAAATAAATAATGAACAAATCTCTATATCTTTGTTTATGCTGTCTTCTTTACTTGAAATACCTGCTATTTAAATCATATTCATCTTTCAGAACCTGGTGTTTCAATTAGGAAACAGAAAGAACATACACACAGAGAGAAATATAACCCAAGATGGATAATAGTAGAGGAGCACAGCACATAGATGTTTGAAAACAGTTTGCATCTCTGGACCAGATAAAGTGCATTCTTGGGGCTGAAAGAACTTTCAGATGTGTCTCAGAGCCAAGGCAAGGAAAATTTGAGCAAGGATGGAAAAGACTGGAGGTTGGATAATGTATTAACTTTTAAAATGAAGAAAAAGGATTCTTCAACCTCTAGATAAGTCATATTCTAGAATAAGTTATTAAATAGAAAGTTTGTGAATATCAAGGAAATAAAATATGGTGATCCTTAGAGACCTTAAAAGGATTTCAGTAGAAATTAGCTCAGTCAAACCACCATGATTTCCTTTTTTTGATAAGATTACTAAATCAGAAGGCTGGAAAATAGCTGAGAACATAGCATATCTGTATTTTAGCAAAGACTAACAAAATCACCCATGATTTCATTATAGATAAGATGGTGAAATGTTGGCTTCATCATTGTAGTGTTCAGTTTGTTCCCAATTGGTTGAAAAAATATTTCACAAGTAATGATTAAAGGATTGATATAAGTCTGGAGGAAAGTTTCATAAGAGTTAGGCTTTGGTTTTAAATACTTCAATAGTTTTAACAGTCACTCTGATGAAGTCAGAAGGCAGAGCTATCATGTCTACCTACTAGAGGAGTCTGGGAAAGATGAGAAATGGAAAATAATGTTAAGATTAAATCTCATGGGATCATTGTGGCTTTTAAAATGTTTTTTAAATGATGTAGCAAACTAACAGGGTAAATTCAACATAGATTTAGGTTCAAACAGGCTGCTCTTTCAGTATCAAAGACAAAGGAAGACCTGACTTTGTTTTTCGGTGATTACGAGTCCAATATGAGCAGTGGGATGCTGTCTCAACACAAAGGTAATGCAAAATCTAGGCATGCTTTAATCAAAGCTGAGCACTTCTGTGCCCTGCTCTGATAAGACCATCTCCTAAGTAGTGTGCCCAGTGGAAGGTCACCTAGATGTCAAGTCTTCCTGCAAAACTGATCTAAGGAAGAGCTGAAGATAATAAGCGTTTTTAACCTGTAAAAGTAGATCACAGAGAGACTATAAAGGAGTCCAAATTTCTCAAAATGACAAATTAGATTCTCCAGAGAAGCGAGACGCTGTCACCAGTGTGATTTGTTACTCTAGAAGCTGGCGCGTACACCACGGATCCCGAGCAGGTGGAGGGCCAGGCGCCTCTGCCTGAAGGATATTCTAGAAAACTCGCGGAGAAGCCCTGAGGGCTCGCGCGATCACAGACGCGCCTCGCGGGCGGCTCTCAGGAATTGGTCCTCCGGCGGGGAGGCGCCGCCTGGCGGGCGACTTCGGGCATGTCACCGTCCTCAGACCCTGGGCACCGAGCCCTGAGCAGGACACAGCAGGCGCCGCCTTGGCAGGGCGCATCCTCGCCCTCTCTGAACTTGGACCCGGGCTCCGGGCCGCATTGGCGCATTGACCAAAACCGCCCACGGGACCGCTGCCGCTGGGCGTGGCCTCACGACCGGGCGCGCGACCCGGGCTGGGGACACCAGAGAACAGGAGCCTCACTGGTCTCCTTGCAGACCCGCCTCGGGGAGCCCTTCATGGTCCCACAAGATTTCTCACCTCTCCAGCCTCGCACAGCCTCCCCGTTTCCCCACTATCCCAGAGCCCCGGGGACCCCCAGTGCCCAGACCTTCTCAGAGGTCTCTCAGCGCCATTCTTTAAGGAGCACCCCTCCACCACCCCAGTTCCTTCCCACCAGCGCCCATGTCCCTTCACCTGTAGAAAGCCGCGTTGACCCTCTTTTCGCTGGGGAAGCCCAGCATCCCGCAGATCACGTGGCTATTGTGGGAGCTCCAGCCTTTGTCACACACTTTCAACCAGCCATCGGAAAGCCTGACTTCGACCAGTCCCTCAGTCACTGGCAGGGGTCGCCTGCCCCGCCCAACCGCTGGGCGAAGTCGCACCTCCTCCACTTGCAGGTGATGCTCTACCTTTGGGATGGGGCCACAAGCAGAAGGAATCCCAATAGCACCATTTACACTTCCTGCCAGCCTTAAGGAACTCTGACTGAGTGTGCTTGTTGCAAACCCAATGGCCAGAGTGGGCTGGACCAGGCTGAAACAGATGCAAGGACTCCCAAAGTGGTGTACTGACTGGGGTGGATGCGGGTGTTCACTCTCCTGCAACCACAAGAGTGGAAGGACGTGCTGTGCCCTGGGAAATGATTACAGGTGCTGAGGAAGGAGCACTTAACTGTCTGAAGCAGGAGGAGGGAGCACCTCACAGAGGAAGTGGCATTGAAGGAAGAGGGTAAGTAAGAAGGGAGACATTCCAGGAGAGCACAGGATGTCCTGGAGACCAGAGATGAAGTTGGAGAGGTTCCTCCCAGGTTTACTAACTTGAATGTTAATGCTAAAACAAACCTGGACTAAAAAGGGCCGGCAGAGTGGCTCAGTTGGTTAAGAGCTCGCTTAAGAGTTTGAGCTCTGAGCAACAGTGGTTCGATGCCCTACCTGAGCTGAGCTGCCGCTGAGCTGCCAATAGGTGGCAGGATGGCTCAGCTAAACAAATAAAAAAAATAAAACAAACCTGGACTTTACAGCATCTAGGGGCTCTATCATTTGCCTCCACCCTCTCCTACCAACCCGAATTATCCCATGGGGTATATGGAATCCCCTACCTTCTAGCATCTCCTCTAAGCACATACAATACCCCACAGCCCTCTCTGTCTGGCCATCCTGGGTGGTGTGTGTGTGTGTGTGTGTGTGTGTGTGTGTGTGTGTGTGTCCACGCACACACACGCGGTGCAGACCTCGATGACGTTGGAGTCGGAGAAGCCAGGGAGGCGCTGGTCCTTGCAGATGACTCCGGCATCCTCATCATGGGTACAGTCACTGTTCCCCCAGCCCCTGGAGGCACATTCAGTCACACTCTGCTCAGTCCCACTGCAGCTCAGGTTGTCCAGCCAGATGCGGCCTGTGGAAGGGGAGATGAGGGGACAGAGAGGCTTGAGGAGGTAGGATGAGGGGAGTGATAGGGATGTTGGGGTGAGTGAGCATGGAGGCCTCACACTAGGCCATGAAGATTCCATTACAACCATTGTGAGATTGCTACCCAAGGCGTTTTCTTTTCATATCAAACATCCCTGGTTTCTTCAACTATTTCTCCTTGAAACTTGGCTTCAGATCTTTCACATGTGGGCAGCTCTCCTCTGAAAGTTTCCATTTTCTACTGTCTCTCTTAAAATGTGGCATCTACAAGTGACACTTTATTCCAGAAGTGGTCTAGCCAGTGGGAATTGGGGTATCAGCTGCAGACTGCAACAGCCTGTCCATCAATCCCATTGTGGGCTCAGACAGTGCAAGCACCCCCAGGCCTCAGCTGGAATTGCTCCTAAGCTCCTACTACCCACATTCATACTTGCCCTAGTCAGTTCCAGCGTGTTGGTTTCAGCTCTGGCCTATAATCTGACTTTTTCAGCTGTAGTGTCTGTGATCCTTTCTGGCTTTGGGGCATCCAGACATCATTTACATGGAATCAGCTGTACTTTAACCGTACTGGGCTCACTGTATCAGAGCTGTTCTCATACATGGCTTTGTAGAATCATACTTTGGCAGCAGATATGAACTTAGATATTATCTAGTCTTTTTGCACATGGGGCATCTGAGGCTCAGAGAAGGCACTGACCAGCCTAAGGTCACACAGCTCTGAGAAATAACTATATTGGCTGGTTTGTCACCAATGGGTTTACTTGACACTGGCTATTTTTGGTGTCCTGTGTCCCTGTGGCTGTGCCATCCTGATGTTCTCTCCCTGCACTTAAGTCACACTTAGGCAATACCTAGGCTATGCCTGGAGCATTGCTCACCTGTTCCAGGGCCATATTTGGCGCTATGCGTCCAGCCTGTGGCCTCTGTGAAGCCCAGCTCCCGGCAGAGGATATGGGCAGCCTGCAGCGTGAAGTCATCATCACAGATGGTGCCCCATTCGCCAGCTCGCTGTATCTCCACACGGCCCTCGAAGGGCTTCCTGGGGAAGCCGGCCAGCCGGAACCGCAGCCCCTGGCTCCCGGCCCTCTTCTCAGGGGCCGTGGATGGGGATGGAGATCCCAGGCACGAGCTGCACAGCAGGCACAGCAGCAGCCCCCGTGGGCTCCACTGCCAGACACTGACAGGTCGCATGGCAGGGAAGGCCTGGGTGTCCCAGAGAGAGAGTGTGTGTGAGAGAAACTGAGATTGAGCCAGACCCAGGTCCCAGAGAGAGGTCATGAGAGGCAAAGAGAGTAAGACCAGAGACAGAGAGAAAGTGAGGAACCCAGGAACTAAGAGAGACAGTGAGAGGGAAACACACACTAAATAGGGGCTGAAACACAGAGCTAATGAGGAGCAGATTGAGGGACTCAGATTGGAAAGGGGGATAGAGAAAGAGAGGGAGAGAGAGAGAGAAAGAGAAGGAGGGGGAGAGGGCAAGGGAGAGGGAGGGAGGGAAGGAAGAAGGAAGGAGAGAGAGAGAGAGGGAGAGAGAGAGAGAGAGGCACTCCCTCTCTTTTGTAAAGAGTAATACTCTCACTATTAGTTATATGTCACAATGACCTTCCCTAGTTCTGACATTCTCACCTCCATTACCCCCACTCACCAACCTATGAGACCCAGAGATCAAAAGACAATGCTTAGAAACCAAGAGTCAGAAAATGGTTGAGATAAAGGGAGAGAAATTGAGCAGGAGACACACAAAGAGGAAGACCCAGACAGACAGGATGTGAGAGGAAGGGAATGAAAGGGGGCCAAACACTGAGAGACAGCAAAGAGACAGAGAATATTGAAGATGGACAGAAGGTGATCGGAGAGAGCCAGACACACTGAATTGGGGAGCGACCCAGAAAGGCGGGCAACAGGTGAGGATGAGAGGGATCAACAGGAGCCAAGAAGCAGAGGTAGGAGGGACCCAGATGACCCCATTCAGCCAGTCAGATGGAGGACAGACAGCTACTGATTGTGGTGAGAGGCAGGCAAGGGGATCTTGGAGATCCTTGGATCTAGGATCCCCTGAATGGGAGCCAAGCCCAGAGTCCTATCGGACAGATTCTGAGGCAGAGGCCAGAATGCATGAAGAGCCAGCTGTCCGCCCTACCCAGCACACAGGCTCTCACAGGGTCCTGCAGGGTCAAGGGGCCCAGGAGGGCCAGGCCTCAAGCTGGGTAGGGGGGATGGGGTGGGATTGTCCAAGCCTCCTGACAACATCCCCACCACTGTCACCAGGCAACCGGAGGCCAGGGCACCATCAGCTCCTCAGCCAAGGCCTTCCCTCTGTCTGGGAGGCTGAGAACAACCCTCTACAGCGAGCCCCCGCAACATGCTTCCCCTGACTCAGACAAACAACCCAACAGGACAGCTTTGTTCTGGGGACATTTTGGATTGGGAGCCCAGGGATAGGGCCTCACAGAGGAGTCCCTGGCTGCCCTATTTGGGAAACCCTGCAGCGCCCCCTCCCCCCAAGTATCGGTGTCCTCTCTCCACTCTTCTTGTCTCACTCTTCTTTGACAATAATAAAACCCTCAGCTGGTTGGCTTCCCCTCGACTCCATCCCACATCATCCATTTGCCCTGGTCCCTCCACCATCCTCTCAGTCGGAAACTCCCTTTCCTCCCGCCGGCAGCTTGACTCCCCTACCTTTGGCTGAGCGGGGGGCCCTAGAGGCTGGGAGAAGATTCCTGGTCCTGGAGATCAGTTCTGGGACTTCCAAAAAAAAAAAAAAAAGTGCTCGGCCAGGGAAGGCTGGACACCCCCCCCCCCCGCCCCTTCGTCCCTCCCACGTCCCCTTGAGCCCTCCCACATTCCGCCTTCTCCCTGGATTCCTCCCAGGCCAGTTCCCTCCTCTTGGACCGCCCCTCCCTGGTGGAGTTAGCTGGCTGCAGTCGTTCCACCTCCCCCCACTCTCGTGTCCCCGCCTCCTGCACCCCCTGGCCGGCTCAATGAAGCTTTCTTTTCCCGCGGGTTGGAGGACAGGCAGCTGCTGTCAGGGAGCTGGATACGCGAGGCCACGGGGCCGCAGACCGGCCCGGGCGGCTGCCCCTGTGGCGGCGGGAGGCCGCGGCTCAGCTTGGGACTACGGGAAGCTTTCCAGGCCTCAGCCCCCAGCCCTTCCCCCAAAGTCCCAGGCTCGGCCGAGGGTAACCAGCCGGGCTGGGGGCGGGTCATGTCGGAGCACGGGAACCGAGGCCCTGAGGGCCCACGTGGCCCCTCTGGGGCCCCAGGGTGCCCGTCGGCATTTTTGAGGTGATGATGTCACGGCCTTCACTCTGATGTCACGTTGAGCATATGACGTGTACCAGCTCCCAAGCCCAGGTGCCAGGGCCCTCTGGCCGAAACAGCGAGGTTTCTTTTGGTGAAGACACTTGTGCACGTCCCAGGGCTGTGATTAGGGGTCTTGAGGGGGTGCACCGCCCAGCTTATCTGGGGACTCCCTCTCCTTTCTTCTTGCTTCTCTCCTTCCTCCCTTATTAAGCAAGGTCCTCAGGGTCGGGGAAAGGGGCGGGAACGCCTGGGGTGGCCCCGGCCCCGCCCCCGCCCCGCCCCCAGCCCTTAGGGCCAGGAAGCGCGGAAAGAACCGCCGGGGGCCATGGACGGGTCGGTGATGGAAGGGCCGCTCTTTTTGCAGAGTCAGCGTTTCGGTACCAAGGTAGTGGCGGGCAGGGGTACCGAGCCCCGTCAGAGCTAGGGTTGGGCGACAGGGCCCAGTGAGAGGAGCGGGAGGGTTGCGGGTGGGAGCGCGGCGCCAGGAGCCGAGAGCCCTCAGACCTTCCCGCGAAGCCGCTTTGCACACTGCGTTGAAGCGTCTGCCGGCCTTGGGGTACGCCCTCTCCGGTCCTGGGGACACCCGGCGGTGTACTTTTCGGGAAACGTCGTCCCTGTCAGGAAGCCTCAGACCCGAAAGCGGCCTGCGCCGGTGCCTCCTTTCCCGTCGGGGCCGGGCCGCCGGCGCTCGCCGGCTTGTTCCCCAGCGTCTCTTGCTCTCTCTCCTCAGAGATGGAGGAAGACCTGGGCCGTGCTCTACCCAGCCAGCCCCCACGGCGTCGCGCGCCTCGAGTTCTTTGACCACAAAGGGTCGGGCTCCGGAGCGGGCCGAGGGGGCTCGCGCCGCCTGGACTGCAAAGTGATCCGTTTGGCCGAGTGTGTGAGCGTGGCGCCTGTGACCGTGGAGAGTCCCCCTGAGCCTGGCGCCATCGCCTTCCGCCTGGACACTGCACAGCGCTCCCACCTGCTGGCGGCCGACGCGGCGTCCAGCGCCGCCTGGGTGCAAACGCTGTGCCTCAACGCCTTTCCGGTGAGGGGGGCCGGTGCTGTCCGCGAGGGGCTGGGCCCCAAAGGCGATGTGGGATGGGGGTAGTTACAGAGACAGAGGAACTGACCTGGCTCAGACCCTGGGAGCCGCATTGGGGGAATGACAGGGTCCTCAATACTCTCGTTCTCTTTATCCCAGAAAGGCAGCTGGGCTCTGGCGCCTGCCGAGAACCCACCCAAGCTTTCTGCCCTGGAGATGCTGGAGAACTCGCTGTATAGCCCCACCTGGGAAGGTAGCCGCCTGACAAGCTGGGCAGGGATGGGATGGTGGAAAGGAAGGGTGCTCCTGGAAAGGGGCAGATTAGGGGGTCCAGAGATCCATGGGGAGGTAGGAAGTTCCTGACAGCTGGCTTCCAAGTGAGTGCTGGGAGAACTCCGCCCCCACCCCTTCAGGTGTCAGTCTAACTGAGGATTCCTTCCAGGATCCCAGTTCTGGGTAACTGTGCAGAGGACCGAAGCCGCTGAACGTTGTGGCCTGCAAGGCTCCTATGTGCTGAGAGTAGAGACCGAGAGGCTGACTCTTCTGACCGTCGGAGCTCAGAGTCAGATACTGGAGCCACTCCTCTCCTGGCCCTACACTCTGTTGCGACGCTACGGAAGGGATAAGGTGCTGGGTTGCGGCTGTGTGTAGGATGGTGGGGGGTGCTATCAGGGAGGATCGACTTCCTGGGTCTGGGGCTGTGGGTGGGGTGGGGGTATGGGCAGGAAGGTTGGACGCTCTGCCCTCTGGATAACCCTTCCTTGCTTAGTCCATGAGCCCATGTCCTTCCCAGCTTGTGTTTCCTTTGTAGACCCCCTAACTAGTTAAGCCCTGTGACTTACCCTCCCCGATAGCTTCTGATAATGTGTTTCCCTCCACACTCTCTTCAGGTTATGTTTTCCTTTGAGGCTGGCCGCCGCTGCCCCTCCGGCCCTGGAACCTTCACTTTCCAGACGGCACAAGGAAATGACATATTTCAGGCAGTTGAGACTGCTATCCAGCTGCAGAAGGCCCAGGGCAAGGCTGGTCAGGGGCAGGATGTTCTCAGAGCTGATTCCCATGAAGAAGTGGCAGAAGGGAAGCCGGCTTCCCTTCCTGGCGCCCAGGAGCTCCCCAGCAACCCTCCGGCCCTGTATGCGGAGCCCTTAGACTCCTTGCGCATTCCTCCAGGTCCTTCCCGGGATTCCCTATATTCAGACCCCCTGGACAGCACCCCTGCTCAGGCAGGGGAGGGGGCACAGACGAAGAAAGCTCTCTACTGGGACTTGTATGAGCATGTGCAGCAGCAGTTACTGAAGGCCAAGCTGACAGACTCCAAAGAGGACCCCATCTACGATGAACCTGAAGGCCTGGCCCCAGCCGCTCTCCGGGGCCTTTATGATCTGCCTCAGGAGCCCAAGGATGCGTGGTGGTGCCAGGCTCGGGCGAAGGAGGAGGGCTATGAACTGCCCTACAACCCCGCCACTGATGACTATGCCGTGCCACCCCCTCGGAGCACAAAGCCTGTCCCTGCTCCCAAGCCCCAGGGACTGGCCTTCCCTGAATCTGGTGCCGCACCTGGCAGTGGCGGCAAAGGCCACAGCTCAGACACTGCCCTGTACAGCCAAGTCCAGAAGAGCAGGGCTTCAGGGAGCTGGGACTGTGGGCTCTCCAAAACAGGGACCGACTGGACTGGGGTCAAATCAGAGGGCTCCACATGAGTAGGGCAAGGCTGGGGTTGCTGATAGGAGGACTACGGGGAGGTGGCACTGGGGATCAAAGAAACCTGTCAGAACCAGCGGGCTGGAGGGGCCTGTGTGACTAGGGGAACAGACAGATCAGGGGAGTCAAGGGAAAGATCAATCCCCAGAAGTTCTAGAAGTGGGACAGATGGCAGGGGCTCAAGGGATGAGACCTGGGGGGAGGCCAGCATCCCTACGTCATTCTTCCAAAAGGAATGGACAGCTGCTGGACCAGGTCTATGGAAAGAGTGCTTGGTCAGAGTAGGAACAGCTGGAGAGGCCAACTTGGAGGCTGTAGGGAGATGCTGGACTGTGCCTGGATCCTTTCCCCTGCATTGTTCTTTGCCAGAGATATATTTTTAAAAAGTTTTATTCTCATTAAAGTCAGTTTGGGTTTAAGAGGTCTGTGTGTGTGAATAGTCACAGAGGGGACCCAGAGGCAGGGTGTGCTAGGTAGATGTGGAAGGGATCAGGAGAAGAGCCAGGATTGTGTTGGGGGCCATGGAAGGGGGAAAGGACCCCAGGGAGGGGAGCTGAGCAGAGTGGCTGTTCAGAGCCTGGGTGGTCCATCTGGCCCATTGGGCTTGACCCCTATCTCTGTGACACTGGGAGAGTTGTTTAACATCTGCAGTTTCCCCTGCTGTCCCTTCGTAAACTGGGAATACTTAATACCAGGCTCTACCTCCGGGGTGTTTGTATGAAAGGAGTTAAATTTCTCACATCCTTAGTGCAATTTGAAGCACAGGGTAAACATTTTATAAGTGGTAGTTGTTACTCTGTAGATGGAGAGGGCTGATGGAAGGTAGGCAGGCAGGCATGAGGAGAGTGGACTAGGAAGGGACCAAGTCTTTTTCACACCACCCTCTCCTCTGTTCTCAGCCATGTGACACACACACACCCATTTTGCATACGGGCACCAACCCCTTTTCTGTTTGGAGTCTGAAGGGAAGTACAGTGTTGCGGGTATAGTGGGAGGGGCATGGACTTTGGAATCGGGCTTGGGTTTCAATCCTACTTGTTTTTCATGAGCTCTGGAAACTTCATCCTTGTGTCCTGAGCCCCGATTTCCTGAGGTGACCCAACCTCATCCACCTGCTTAGGCAGAGCTATAAGGACAAATTTGGACCAGGAATGACCCTAACAATGGCACTGGTTCATTGGGTGTTTAATCTTCATCTGTGTTCACAGTATCAAGTGACACAAAAGAAAAATGAGTCCTTGCTTGGAGGAGGGAGAGGCTCGGGTGTGTCTCTTCCCAAGCTGAGGAGGGGGGCAGTGGCAGCACTGAGGACAGAGGAGGGAAAAGCTTGGTTTCTGTCACTCAGACCTCACAGAGGCTCAGGTGGACAGAAGGCAGGTCTGACCACACACAGAACACCATCATGTGAGCCTCAGCATGGATGTGATTGAGCAGGGCAGCCAGGCTCTGGCACTGGTGACTTAAAGCCCTGAGGGATATTCCTCCTCTTCTTCCTCCTCCTCTTCTTTGGAATGCTGGAAGGCTTCTGAGGTGGCTTTGCTGGCTGCTGGCATCTTGGGGTCTCTGCCAGGGGTTGTAGTCATAGGCAGGGGGGCCACTGTGGCTCGAACTCGGCTTGTCTGCCGAGAAAGTGAACAGAGCTGTCTCTAAATACTAGACAGAGTTCCTGATCTCCTATCCTGTTCCCTCTGGGTCTCCTGTGCTAATTCCTTTACTTCCCCTATCCCTGGAGTGACAGCCTCCACAGTGCCCATGCCCTGGGTGAGTGACCCTGCTTTGTTAGCTTGCCCATCAGCTAGCTTATGGCGGGCTCTGCTCCCACGAGATTGACTGTAGTCTGGGAACACCTTTCTCTTGTAACTTCAGCTAAGGCAAAGCAGGAGTTTTTCTAAAGGCTGTTACTGAAAAACTAGGAAAAAATTAAGGGTAAAAGGAAGCCCAAATATAAAATATGGATTTCATAAAAATAACTCTCCACCTTGAATTACCCTTCTGTCTTTAACCCTTGTCACTAGAGCCCTGTCTCTAAGCGACTAATCTTGGTCAGCCTCCCTTTGCTCCTGTGTAAAACAAGCATCACACTTACCTTGCCGGGATGCTGTGGGATTAAATGAGAAAAATGTTTGTGAAAGTGCTTGTCACACAACCTGGGAAATGACTGGTGCTCAAGTTGCTAATTTCTCTGGAGCATTTCTTTCCCCACCTTCCCTTCAGCTTTTCTTTCAACGGAGTGTTATGGTTGTAATTCCAGGGCAGCCAGTTCACTTAGTGGGACATAGTCTGTTAAATGACTAATGAGTTATCATAAATGCTACCATTAAGATACCTGAACATGATCATATGTCAGTGCCCAAGCAGAACAGCACCCCCTTCCCCCCACAGGGGAGGGGCTGTAAATTCCTTTGTCTGGGGCAAAAGGCTGCTCTTTTTCTTCCTCTCCTGTTGGCCTGATTCTCCTCTCCACCAGGGGAGATCCAGGGTACTCCCTGGGATTTGGGGAGTTGGGGACAAGAGAAAAGGGGTCTCTTGGATTCTGGGCATAAAGGGGAAGGAGGGGAGTAAGGAGGGGAGCGTACCTTTCTCAGGGCCCGCCTCTCCCAGCTTGGGTGGAGTCGACCTTGGGGCTTGGCAAAAGTGCTACTCAGGTGTGAGTACAGGTGGCTGCAAATCTGTAAGGGGTTGTAGGTGGGCTCTAGCTCCAGGCCATCCAGCGCGCTCTGAGGAAGAGAGGAGGAGCCTCACCTGGGGAACTTGAGGTCACAGAAGACAAGATGTCAGGCAGAGCCCTTTGAGTGTGAGAGGCTGGAGGAGGCGTGAAGACCCAGGGCCTGCATCTCTGAAGGCTGTGAAATAGACTTACGTGTGTCCCACTGAGTGTTCTGGCCCCTAGGTTGGAGTGCTTGTGAGGTAAGTATGAGGCACCCCAAGTGGTTAGGGACACTGAATACTCTGGCCCCAGAAGTGTGTCATGGAATTCCGGAACGCTGTGAGGGTTACAAGGGATCCAGTGTGCGTGGCTGTGAGGGAGGGTGTGTCCACGGCCTGGGGCTGCTCACAGTCTACAAGGAGAGTACACTGAGTTCTCCGCCTGCCTGCGAGGTGAACATAACCAGAGGACACGCGAGCCCAGCATTCCTGAGCAGTCAGGTTTTCCGGCCACAACATCCTGTGCCAGGAAACATTGGCCCTGAAGTGAGACGCTGAGCGAGCCATAGCCACTTGTGCCCACCTCTCTCTGCATCCCTCTGGCAGCCAAGCAGAGAGCACAATCCCAGGCTCTGTCCTCTCTGCACATCAGCCAGTGATCCAGCAGCAATGTGGTTCCAGGTCTCCCTGCCCAGAGCCCCCCTCCTGCCCTCAGTCTGGGTAGGCCTGCGGAGGAAACCCAGAACCCAGATCCAGGGAAGAGGAGGAGGAGGAGGAGGAGAAAATGGCCTACAGAACTGTTCCCTCCTTTGCATCTGAGTCTTAACTTTGAAGCCCTTCCTATTTTGGGCACCCACATTGTCTGCCTTTTCCTCTTTCCCTCAACAGACAGAAATAGATGCACAGAAACACAGGCACACAAACATGCACACACGTAACGCAGAGAAGGACCCGTGGGAACACACCATCATGGCTTACTTCCTTCTGTACCACCTTGGTTGCTACAGTTTCTTCTCTGACCCTCTCACCACACCCTTGGAACCACTTCTCCCTTGTCTCTCTGTCCTTCCCCTCACTGGCTCATTCCTCCCCTTCATCCCTTTCTTGAACTCCCTTCTCCTCTCTTCCCTCTGTCTGTCCCATGAGATCTGGGCTCCACCTGCCTCCACAATCTTGAGGCTGTCCTCAGGCAGGTCCTCAGGCAGCAGGGGAAAGGGGCTGGGCAGCATCAGTTCCCGCGTGGCCACTGCCTTCACCAGCAGAGTTGGGGAGCGCGATGGCACGATCACGTAGAAGGTGCTGGGGGGCTCTCTCAGGCTGTGTCCTCCGTTTAGGGGCTCCCCTTTGGCTAACAGCAGCCATTCTCTTTTCTGAAACAAGGACATACATAAAGGATGGTTCATCTTTGGTCTTTGGCACGTTTTGAAGATCAATCCCAACCAAGGTTCCCCCGAGTTCCTCTGGGGGTAGGGGTGTCAGGAAGGGCTGAGCCATTTCCCCCTGGCCCTGGGAGGGAGGGACTTCCTGCCTGAATCACCAGTGCCCCCAGGTACTGCTCTTCCTCCCTGGTCGGGGATGTACACAGAAGGGTTGCCAGCGCAGAGACTAATAAAGAGATGCCCTTTACCTGAAGTAGGTGCTCACCCTAGAGCAGCGGTTCTCAACCAATGGGTCGCAACCCCTTTGGGGGTCGAACGACCCTTTCACAGGGGTCGCCTAAGACCATCGGAAAACAAAAAGATATTTACATTACGATTCATAACAGTAGCAAAATTACAGTTATAGAGTAGCAACGAAAATAATTTTATGGTTGGGGGTCACCACAACATGAGGAACTGTATTAAGGGGTCGCGGCATTAGGAAGGTTGAGAACCGCTGCCCTAGAGGGGGATACTGTATTACTTAATGGTAAATGTAGAGTTTTAAGAATTATAATTCTTAAAAACAGAGTCTTGGGGACCGGCCATGTGGCGCTTTGGTTAAGAGCTGGCTTGGGACGCCAGCTCTGTGCAGCAGGACCCCGGTTCGGATCCCACATGAAGGGCCAGTGACACTGCCCTCTACAGCTAAGATGGTGAACAACAGCTCAACCTGGAACTGGGCTGCCGTGAGTTGCCGGCGACGGCATAGGCTGTAGCCCCTGCTGCAGTGGGCTGCCATAAGCTACCATGTGTGGCCTGCAGTCAGTGTGAGCAGCCAGCTGCTGGTGTGAGCTGCCAAGAGCCGCCTTGAGTGGCCACCCAGAGGCCAGCGACCGATCTGCCTCACCCGGGAAGAGCGCAATGATAATACCAACATGGGCTAGTGAGGTGACGTCCCCCACAACTAGACTGAAGAACCAAAGAACAGCAACTTGTCTGCTCCCCTTCCCCGACTCCCCAACACTGTTCCCCTCTCCCAATTCCCCAATAAAATCTTTAACAAACAAAACAAAACAAAACAAAACAAAACAAAACAAAACAAAACAAAACGAGTCTTGAACGAAAGACTTGTGTTGGGTGTTGTGAAAAATTCAGGTCTTATCCTGAGGGGGATAAGGTCTGGTTGTGTTGCATGACTTGGGCAGAGTGGGCTAAATGGAGGCCCCCTGGAATGCATAGACAGAGTTTAAGAAGAAAGTGGTCAGAGTTGCCTTCGCAGAGAGAGGGGGAGGGGAGAGCAGGGAGAGGAAATCTTTGGTACAACAAGGCCAGGGGTTGGGGGCAGGGCTTTTGAGATCAACTCAGCCAGTCACAGGACAAAAAGAAGGGTCAGAATTCAGGGGATGGTGACTCTTTGTGTAAAGGGTATTGTAGAACAGAGTGGCGACACCTTGCCATGTGCCATGGAGATCAGAGGTTAGCACATGGGTAAGGAGAAGAGACAAGTAGACAAATGAGCAGACTTTCTAGGTGTACCCTTTGAAATCAGGCATGGAAATGAATCATTTTTTTCTGTGGTAGTTTTCAAGGAAAACTACAAAACTCTAGGAAATACGGAGTCAGAAATGTTACAATCATCTGTAAATTGTGTCCTCTTGCGTGAGGGGGTCATCAGTTATAATTGGTACAGACATAACCGTGTCCCTGTGACGGAAGATGAAAGACAGCACACTAGCTCTACCCACTTTAACCGATAAAAAATGTTGGAAGAAATAATACGAGGAAAGGCAAAAAAGGAGAAAAAATATAGTAAGGGGACAGAGGAATATCACTGTCTAGCGGAAGTAGAAAGTGAGATAGTGAAGCAGAAAAACCTGCTGTAGCATTAAAGTTATATCTTAGGGGTGTGTGCTGGGGTGGAGGTGGTGGGGAACACTTGGCCACTTTAAAGCACTGTTATCAGCCTGTGCAGCACAGAACTCTGGGGGCTCTGGAAGCGGGGCAGGTGGTAGGTGCATTCCTAGGTTCATGCTTTCTTAATATTTTCCTTATAGCTGGAGATGTGGTGTCTTCCTGAAGAACTGACGCAAAATGTGATGAAAAGTCTACCTGAGGCTTCTCAAATCTATCAAATTGGAAACAGATTATATATGAGTAGAAATTGTTGTGTGTGGTGGGGGTGGGGGAGGAGGGCAGGTTTTTGACCCTGCTTTGAAGACATGGCCTCTTTAAGCCTGAAAGAGATGTTCTATGGAAGAACAAGGCAGGAAGTTGCAGGACACTCCATTTTAGTTGTCTTAAGTAGCTTCTGATGTGGCTCAGACTTTGTATTATTATTTTTATATTTTTAATTTTTTTAAAAGATTTTATTGGGGAATTGGGGGAGGGGAACAGCACTGGGGAATTGGGGAAGGCGAACAGATAAATTGCTGTCCTTTTTGTTCTTCAGTCTAGTTGTGGAGGACGTTGCATGACTGGCTCATGTTGGTATTATCATTGCGCTCTTCCTGGGTGAGGCAGATTGGTCGCTGGCCTCTGGACAGCCGCTCACGGCAGCTCTTGGCAGCTCACACTGGCTGCCAGCTGCTCACGCTGGCTGCCGGCCACACACAGGTAGCTTATGGCAGCCCATGGCAGCAGGGGCTGCAGCCTACACTGTCGCCAGCGACTCATGGCAGCCCAGTTCCAGTGGAGCCATTGTTCACCATCTTAGCTGTAGAGGGCGCAGTGTCACTGGCTCTCATGTGGGATCTGAACCAGGGCCCTGCTACTCAGAGCTGGCGTACCAAGCCGGCTCTTAACCAACGTGCCACTCGGCTGGCCCATGGATTATTATTATTTTAATCTATTTTTATGCTGTTTCATGCATTTATTTGTGAATTAGTTTATTTATTACCGTATTTGCCGGCGTATAAGATGACTGGGCGTATAAGACGACCCCCTAACATTTCCACTCAAAATACAGAGTTTGTTATATACTCGCCGTATAAGACTACCCCCTCTTCCGCACACCTTCCACACACCAAATAAAAGGTAAAACAATATCAGATTTGATTTGGCCCACTGAAGTGCAAACAAGCGTATTGTATTTCGTGTCACCACATAACCGTTTTGGCGATGTTGAGCCACCATGTCTGCTACATGTTTTTCGAGTTCTGGCCAGTGTGGGGTGCCTCTTCTTAATGCACACTTACCCCTTGGCATACTCTTTAATGCTTTCTCATTTGATTTCCAGTCCCGAACCATCTTTTCTGTTACTCCATATTGTCTTGTAGCAGCACAATTATTATTTTCCTTAGCAAAGTTTATAACTTTCAGTTTAAAATTTGCATCATACTTCTTTCTTTTGGCTGGTGCCATGATAGGGATGATAGGGGTTTGACTGGTCGACATTTTCTATGCTGTACTGTACAATGGTGCAGTATTGTGGTTGGCTGTTGGCTGTATACAAAGCCTGATTTGATTGGTCCCTGCTCCCTGTTTGCCTGCCCTGTCACTATAGCAGTCTGGTCCACCCTTGCATCAGCATCTCCCTGGGACCTCACTAGTGCGCAAGTGCGAGCTCTTCAACATTCTAACAGGCACCATGATAGCGCAAAATCGCGAATCTTCAATGCATATGTAAAGAAATATACGGTAACCCGAATTTACCACACTTGCAAAATCGCACACAGCCGACCATACACCCAGTATGGTATCGCGATTCGCGATTTTGCGCTATCATACTGGGTGTATGGTCGGCTGTGTGCGATTTTGCGAGTGTGGTAAAATCGCATAACAGCCGAGCATACACCCAGCAGCGCTGCTGATGCCTGAACAGTATGTGGAATGAAGTGGGCGGGCATCGGGAGGCCACTATGGCACAGGGCAAGCACTATGGGCAGTCTATCTGAAGTGTACCTGGCATATAAGACGACCCCCCACTTGGAGGCATATTTTTCAGGGCCAAAAAATCGTCTTATACGCCGGCAAATACGGTAAGAATTTATTGAGTGCCTGTTGCCTATTATGTCCTGAGCACTAGGTGTGGGTATATAGAAATTCATTAGACATAGTCACTGCCTTCTTAGAACTTATAGGAAGGGGAAGGCTTGTAAATTAATGTTTGTCCCAGACTTAGGATGCCCAACTGTTCTGGTTTGCCCGTTTTGGGCACTGAAAGTCCTGTGTCCCAGAAAACCCTTCAGTTCTGGGCAAACTGGGATGGTTAATTACCCTCCTGAGACTCCATGGAGAAGGGAGTATTTTGCCACTGTGACAAGTCACTGGATGCTAAAACTATGACAATACGACATTTCTTGTACCTGGTACATTGTGGGGTTACTAAGAGCCTTTGAAAGTGGTACACAGAAAATTATGGCCCCCTAGAATTTGGGTCTACTGATTTCGAGACGATAGCTAAGATTCGGTTAGAGAATTGGTGTGCAGAAATGAATGAGGTCTTTTCAAAGTAACCCCTGATGTGGGGATTATTAGAGGAATGGGAAGAGATTGAGTTGCAAAGATTTTACAGAATCCTTTAAAACTTTTGGGCTGATTTATAGAGAGGTTAGCAGAAATTTCTGGAAGGAAGAGAGAAAAATGCATCCTTATTAGAGTTTGATAACGATATTAATTTATCTGTAATTTCCAGAAGTGTTTTGAGAAAGTGAGAGGTAGGGAAGTTACTTTAAGGCCCCAATTTGGACCCTGAATTTCTAACCTCTTTGGGGACTTGATGTCTAGGACTCAAGCTTGAACATGTTACCCAAGTTATGGGTTGACCTGTTGGTGCAGGCAGTTGTAGCTGTGATAGAAATGGTTAACTTCTATAGCTGGTATCTGAGGCTGAGAAAAAGCAGTGGCATTTTGATGTCTTGTGGGACGTCCCAGAACACCAGCCTTTGAGCCCCCAAATTGAATAACGCTTAATGACTCTAGATGACTGCTGAGTAGTTAGAATATGCTTTTGCTAATTCTAAACAAAGGAGCATGAGTTAGATGCTGAATTTACCAGAAGGCAGATGAAA